TCGCAATTGCAAATTAAGCGGGGATTTAAATCCCCCTGCTTCATTAGCATAAAAATGGCTGCCGCTTTTTTTCGGCATGGAGTTTTGCCGGAAAAAAGCACTAGTCTAGTCGTGGAACTTTCAGAAAATAAAGTCTTTTCTGAAAGATCCCTTATCCCTCATTTTAAGAGGGATAGACAAACATATTCAACCTCATTTTAAGAAGGATAAGGGATCTTTCGGAAAAGGCTTTATTTTCCGAAAGATCTGAGTCTAGACTGGCGCTTTTTTCCGGCAAAGCTCCATGCCGAAAAAAAGTGTCAGACATTTTTATGCTAATGAAGCGGGGGAGATTTAAATCCTCCGCTTCATTTGCAATTGCGATATGTCTAATTTGCATCCCTTTTACGGAAAAGGAATGCAGTCTAGACACAGCCCTGGGGTATGTCTAGACTACATGGCTCCGTCGAGGGAGTCATGTAGATTTGTTTATTGGGCAAAGAGAAATGAAGCGGTGATTTAAATAATCGCCACTTCATTTACATTTAAATGGCTGCCGCGCTGAGCCGACAAACAGCTGATCAGCTGTTTGTCAGCTCAGCGCGGTAGCCCTTTAAATTTAAATGAAGCGGCGATTATTTAAATCACCGCTTCATTTCCCTTTGCCTACAACCCTAATCTACACGGCTCTGTCGATGGAGCCATGTAGTCTAGACACAGCCCTGCTGACCAAGCTTTGTTTACCCTGCCACAGCAAAACTTTTGTCTTGGGGGGAGGGGCAGCGTTAAACCTCTGTGAACAACAAAAGTTTTGTGATTCAACTGGCATTGTAGACAAACCCTAAGAAAGGCTTACCTCTCTTTAATGAGTGCAGCATAGGCCACATGATATTCAACTAGATGGACCAGTCTGCTCCAGAGCAGAGATCCTAAATTCCTATATGTTTATGAGTTACGAGTACTATTTTTCTTTGCCCTTGTTTATTCCTTTCAGCATGAAGATTGCCAGACCTTCCAAATTTCATCCAGGGTAGAGTAACAAAACTGCTTTTCTATTCTTTAAATAGTTTAACTCACAACCATTGAGGAGGTTTAGTTATTGCCTCTGACAGTAAGTTGTACAATTGTTGTTGTTTAAAACATTATTACCTTTTATCCTTTTAACATGTATTATCTTTCCCGGAGTGGCTTCTTGTCATATGGGGAAAGATAAACAGCAGCACTTGACTGAGCTCCTTTACTCATAGTTGTGTATACCTTTATAATGTCTTTGCTATGCTTCTCTTTTCATGAGCGGGAGTCAGACTGGCTGATTTATGTACAGGCTTGTGCAGGAGGAAGAGCTGTGATGCTTCACCCCTGGTAGACCTCAGAGAGCTTGAGCTCCAGACATTGTGCATCCTTTCCTTTGAATGGTGCAATGTATTTGTTCACGGATCCTGTTCAGCCGACTGGTAGGGTGGTGCCATTGCTGCAGCTCTTTCCTGCTCACTTTGGGATGGTATACGTGCCTGGTGACATACAGAGAGAGGTGCTCCAGAATGAAGGGACAGCAATTGTCCTTTGTCTTTCAAAGAAAAGCATGACAAAATGAGGGTTTTTTTTAGTTCTTCCCTTTTCTGACCTCAAACATTTGCTTAGGGCTGAGGATTATTTAGCTCTAAATATACCTATCTTTTAAATTTCAGAATGTACAAGACTCCTCTGAATGCTTCCATGGCTCTAATCATGCCAGATGCTACCTCAAAAGAGAATGCACTTCACTTCATCTGTCCTTGCTTAACTGCGTATTACTTTAGAAATACTAAAGAAAACCTACATGGACAGGAACCAGCAGAATCTGGCAACCGTGCATGTGGGCAATGGCAAACAAAATATCTTGTGGGCCACACACTGAACCCTTATGGGGTATGACTATCTGCCAGAGTAACTCTGCTGAAGGAGTGATATGAACGCTACTCCCTTCATCCCAGGTAGCTAAAGGGCAGAGAAAAACGGAGCCTTATTAATAGAAACTTTAAAATAATACCACGTAGAGCCTGTAAGAAGAAATCCAATGTTTGCAAAGTATTAGGGAACAGGTTACAGAACAGAAATAGGTGAAATCAGAGCGATATGAAGTGGAAGAAAGTAATTCCAAGATAGAGGAGATGTAAATGCTATTTTGGACTCCAATAAGAGCAACTTGCCTATGAAGATTTCTGATAACAGATGTGAGATTCTACCAGTTTCAGGCAAGGAGATGAATTTCAGCTTTCATACTTCTGACAAACCAAATTCTAGAAAGTTCTAAAGGAGGAGGTACAGAAGTCAAGCTGAAATGAGATGAAACCAGTAGTCTGTGGCTATGTCTACACTCGCGGCTTCTTGAGCAAATATGGCCGTTCTTGCGCAAGAACCCAGAGAACATCCACACTGCCCGACCGCTCTTGCGCAAGGAAATTTACAGTACAGCGTGGTAAGAGAGGGCTTCTTGCACAAGAGCTACACTCTTTTTTAACAGGTGTAAGCCCTCTTGTGCAGGAGCTCTTGCTCAACGAGGCAGTGTGGATGCTCGGCAGGGATTTGTTGTGCAAGAAAGCCCTATAGCTAAAATGGCCATCAGAGCTTTCTTGTGCAAGAGAGCATCTATACTGCCATAGGTGCTCCTGCACAAAAGCACAGCTTGCACATGGTAGTATGGATGTTTTCTTGCACAAGACTTCTTGAACAAGAACCCTTGCGCAGGATGTTCTTGTGCAAGAAGCCGCCAGTGTAGACATAGCCTGAGAGTTTGTTATAAAGAATATTATATTCCTGGTACATCTTTGTCTAACTTTATACATACAATAAAAAAATAGTATCTTTGTGTAAAAAATGAGACAGCACAAACCTGTATGTAGTCATATAAAAGAAAAGTGGCATGATTCAACACAGCATTATAACAGTGTAAAAAAGCCAACAGTATAAGATGAAATGTAAGCATACAAGGATGCTAAAATGAGG